TAATAATTTGGTCACTCATTCTATGACTGTTTTGGGACGCTGCTGTCCGCAATTGGCTGCTACAATTTCGCCCACAAAATATACAGTCAATTCCCTAAACAGTATGTTTTGTGAAGCGTTTTGAGGCGTCTCGAAGATGTGATAAAGCGCTGTATCAAATGCAAGGATTATTACTATTATTATTATTATTATTATAACAGTCAAGCATCTTTTCACAGACAGGGAAATCGAAAGGGTTGAACTATGACAGGAACTGAGATCAAAGGCAAAAGGATCACAGATAAAGATTTAACAGGGAGACCGAGTTAAATAAATGGGAGATAGGAACCTCAGATTCACCGAATGATACAGGTAAGTGAGGAGGAGGAGATCAGAAAAAACATCCCCAAAACCCAAGCACAGCTACACCAATAATTTATATGACGCCTTGCACGTCGGAAGGATGTGTCAAAGATGCTTCAAGCAGCATATATATATGCATACACATAAAAGGATGAAAAGAAAGAGATAAAGTGTGAAAAAGAAGGAAGCTGGTGAGATGTTTTGCCAGTTATTGACAGCGCTCCCCTGCAGTGAGGGGGCTCCCACAGAGAATGTTAGTGACTGCCTGTACAGTGATTGCCTGCTGTCACTCTGCTCAGCTGCCTGTGATATACACAGGCTTTCCTACAAACTTGTATCATAATCCTTGCATCTACTATGGCATCTTATCGTGCTGTCGAGACATCTCAAAATGCTTGGTAAGTTTTTAAGTGAAGTGTAGTAACAACAACAACAAAATTACATGTGTGTAGCATCTTTCATGTCCAGAGGACGTCCCAAGGCACTGGGCAGACCGAGTTTTGGACCCGAGCTAAGGGTCGGGGTCGGGGAGGGTGGAGGGCAGGGGGTGGGAGCAGGGAGGAGATCAAAAGCACGGTCGAAGAGGAGGGTCTTGAAGGGGGAGGGGGCGAGGCAGAGGGATTGCGGGATGGAGTTCCAGAGGGGGCAGAGTGGCGGAAGGCCCGCCCGCCAATAGTGGCGTGAAGCAAGCCGGAGCCAACTGAGTGGAGGGAGCAAACAGGATGGAAGTGGGTTAGGAGGTCGCAGAGGTAGGGGGGAGCAAGACCATGGAGGGCTTTGAAGGTGAGGACCAAGATCTTGAAGTGTATCCTCTGTGCGATGGGAAGTCAGTGGAGTTGGGTAAGGATGTGAGTGATAGGGTTGCGGAGCCTGGTGCGGGAGAGCCTAGTGTGGGCTGCAAAGTTAGTTCTGGATGATCTGCAGCCTGTGGAGGGAGAAGTTGGGGAAGCCGACAAGCAACGGATTTGCATGGTAGTTAACCATGATTTTCGTACACAAACACAATTTGAGCACAACAATGTCCCACAAACAACCTTGATATATAATAATAATTGTTGCATTTGATATAACACTTTATCACGTTGTTGAAATGGTTCAAAACGCTTCACAGAAGATATTGTAAAGTGGATTGACTGTATTTTGTGGGTGAAATGCAGCAGTCAATTGGCCACAGAAGTTGTGGATTGAGTGACCAAATTCTTATAATTTTTTGAAGGGATTGTTACCCTCGGAACGCGATCCGCCAATCGACCGGGAACCCGGTTATAATAATCCTTAATAATAATAATAATCCTTGCATTTGATATAGCGCTTTTCACGTCAGGAGGACGTCCCAAAGCGCTTCACAGAACACACTGTAAAGTGAATTGACTGTATATTTGTGGGCAAACGCGGCAGCCAATTGCGCACAGCAATGTCCCACAAACAGTCATGGATTGAAAATGACCAATTTATTATTGTTTTTGGTTTTTGGAGGGATTATTATTAGGCTCTGTGTGGAGTAAGGAAACTTGCCCAAGGAATTGAACTCAGGTCTCTCGCTTGCAAAGCGAGTGCTCTAACCACTGAGCCACAGGACTCCACTCCAATTAGTCAATTGGCGGATCACTTTCTGGGGGTAACAATCCTGAGGTAAACAAAGGCGTGTGGAGAAAGGAAACTTGCCCAACGTTTCGCCCTGCTGAATTCTCTCACTTGTGAGATGAGTTCTCTAACCACTAAGGTACATGATTCCACATAAAAAGAAGTAGGATTATGGGGGAAAAAGACAACTATTTATACAGAACCCTTCATGCAGGATAGCTCCTCAGAGCGGTGAAGAAGACAGGAAAACGAAACTGAAGAAATTGCTCTTTCGAAGAGAAGGCACAGACACGATGGGCTGAATGGCTTTCTTCTTCTGTGCTGTGAATCTTTAATTCTGCGGTTATAAACCTGAGACGTGTTGAAAACCTTTCATCTGAAAACAAAAACTTCAGAGCAATGAACAGGCAACAGCAAAGCATCAAAACAAGCTTCAAAACACACGAGACGTTCAAAGGCTTATAGAGTTACAAATTCATTCTCGGTGAAGAGGCTTCTATCAACCAGTGCCAAGATTTTGGCAGAAAAATTCAAATGAACCAATTAGTAAGGGACTCTCTCTAAACAGGCTCACAAACATGTACTGTTCAACTCCCTTTCCCGAACATATAATTAATAATAATACTAATAATCCTTGCATTTGATATAGCGCATTATCACAGCAGTGTCTCACAGTCGTGGATTGAGTGATCAAAATATATTTTTTCACATACTCTTAACTAAAGGCCTGTGAAAAACATAGCAAACATGAGCATGGCATCTGGTAGGGTAGTGGTTAATGCTCTCCCTCCATCATAATTATTATTATTAATAATCGCTGCTCCTCTCAACATTCTGTCCACAAACCCCAGAAAATGACAGCACTGTGAGGATTACTTGCATTTACGCAGCTCCTTTCACATTAATATGACATGTCTCAAAGCGCTTCACAGAGTATAATCAATCGTGAATGAAGTGAACGTCCCATAAACAATCCTGAGGTGAGGGGCTGATTAATGATAATAATGACATGCAATGCAGCACCTTTCTCGTCAGGAGCATGTCTGAAAGCACTCCGCAGGAATTTACTGTCAATTTACTGTGTGTTTTTGTAGGCAATCACGGCAGCCGATTTGCACCCAGCGATGTCCCACAAACAGCAGTGAAGTGGATCCAAACTGTATCTGACGCAGTGGTGAGGCGCTGGATCAAACACAAGGATTGTTATTACAAAAATACAGGGAAAGGCCCAAATAAGATGCATCTACTTCCCTCATGTGTCCCTTAAGTGCTCCTGGATGCTACCCTGCATTATGTAAGGGTGCTATGTAAATGCAAGTAGTTGTGGTTATTTAGTGAGATGTTGCCACCATCTTTAGTCTCCATGAAGTCACATTTCACTTGTCTTCCTGAGCTGCGAGTACACAGTAATAATAATAAGCCTTGTATCTGATGTAGCGCTTATCACGTCGAGAAGTCTGAAAGCGCTTCACAGAATATACTGTAAAGTGAATTGACTGTGTAGCTTGTAGGCTTTGCAATGTATGTATAACAATGTGTAATACTGTGTGTTTTGTATACTTTACAATAACCTGACTCAGATCGCACCTGAAGACTTTTCTCTTTGACTGTGCTTATGGTCACCTCCCTCCTTCTCTGGCTCAGCGTCAAATCACGCCACTGTTCAGCACTCCAAGTCTCTACCTTCTGTGAAGTGCGTTGTGTAAATGCGAGTTGTAATAATTACGCTGTATATGTGTAATGTAGGCATAATGTAGGAGTCCTGTAGCTCAATGGTTAGAAACTCATCTCGCAAGTGAGAGACCTGGGTTCAATTCCCGGCAGGGCAAAACCTTGGGCAAGTTTCTTTACTCCAAATGCCTGATAATAATCCCTCAAGAAAAAAATAATAAATTGGTCATTTCAATCCATGGCTGTTTGTGGGACGCTGTTGTGCGCAATTGACTGATGCGTTTCGCCCCCAAATATACAATTTGTCAATTCACTTTACAGTATATTATGTGAAACGCTTTGAGACGTCTCGAAGACATAATATATCAAATGCAAGGATTATTATTATTATTATTATTATTATCAGGTTGGAGCTGTGAATGAGACTGTCTGTAACAGAGCATCTTGCATTACCATATTGCTGCCCATATTCCGGAGCTCTGCTCCGCATACGAGGGCTGTGAGGGGTGGGGTGGGAAGGGTGAAGAGTTTCCTGGTAATTATTATCCACTGCGCTCTCAAATTCATGGGCACTTTAACCTCCTCCCATTCCCCTCGCTCTCTCCACCACCCCCTCAGCATCAGAGCTCAGCAGCTTCATCCAGCAATCAGTATGCTTTGCCCAGCCGAGTGTCTGACACATGCGGAAACCCATCACCGTGGCCAAACCAAGCTGAGATTTCCATCATCCCACCTACACATGGAAATCCCAGAGATACATGTCAGAATGGAATGCCCTCCCCAACCCCCCTCCCTCCCTCTCTCCCTGGAAGGGCGCACCCTGATTACCTAATTCCGGAGAATATTACACGCAAGTTGATGAGAGCCAAGGTTTGGGGTGACCCCAGAGTGTGGGTTGGGATAACTGCTGAAGTCCAACCAGCTGAAACCACATAGCTTGCCATGGAGAGCACCGTCTGACAAGCTTCCTTCTGCTTTTCCACCCTACCCATCAGGGCTTTGGCTTGCAGAGTTGAATGGAAAGAATCTCTGCCTCCAATGACTGATCCGGCCCTCCAAGTACTACCGATGAATCATCAGCAGTGCCCTAGAGTACTGCGGACCCGCCTGGCTCAGGAATGTTGTTCTAGGCTCAGAATGTTGTCCGTTCGTTATTAATTTAAAGATGTCACGTAGTTTCCTGTTTTCCTGGAGATGTTTTATCAGGCAGTCAGTGAACTCAACCCAGACATCGGTTACTGCCCAGACACACTAACCTTTCGCTTATTTTACGTTTCTCCCACAAAATATTCACTCACTGTACAGTATATTCTGCGGAGCGCATCGAGACATCTCGAAGACGTGATCAGGTGCTATGTCAAATGCGGGGATTAATATTATTATTGTAACCTTGACCTCTGACCATTCAGGTTTGACAGATTTTATTTTTTTTATTGAAAATATTTATGGCTCCACTTTTATAAAAGACACTTTTTTTAATATAAAATCCCCCACCACAAAATGGTCTGTCTGCCCTCCGTTAGTTAATCAGTTAACTCAAGCTAACTGATTAACTCATGGAGAGCAGACAGTTAATTATCTTGGCTGGTGCTACGTGTAGACACGAAAAGAGAGAGAGAGAGAGTGATAAGATTGAGAGCATCACACAAGTCGCACGGATCCGACCTTGCTGTCAACTGGGTATCAGCAGCCAGCAGCCTGAATCCCAGCAGCATCCACCCCCCTTCCCAGCAGAACCCCTCAGTCTGTCTCTGACCGGCCGATGATCAAAGCACAATAACCTGCTTTGCCCGAAGTTCGCCACTGGTTGATGTCCAGGCATTACACCTGGTTCTGTTCACGTTTGGATTTCCTGAGCGCTTTCCTCGTGGTTTTAGATTCTACAGAGAAGAAAGAGCGAGAAAGGGAGGATGATGAGGATAATAACAATCATTACAGCTAATGCAGCGCCTTTCACGTCGGGAAGACATCTTAGAGCGCTTCAAACTGCATTTATATAATAATAATCTTTGATTTTGATACAGTGCCTTATCACGTCTTCGAGATGTCTCAAACAGCTTCACAGAATATACTGTAAAGTAGTTGACGGTGTATTTTATGGGCAATTCATTAATGAGGAAAAAGTCCATTTCCCACATGTTTAGATTTAATGCCGGGTTTAAAGGAACCCACCTGTTTGTTTCACCTTTGCTTCCTTTCTCTGCTCTGAGTTGCTCTCGCTCACCTCGGGAGACGCACTGAACCGTGGTTTCTTTCCCATGCGGGGGGATTTCCCGCGTTTCTGGCCGCCTGCGGTTTTCCGGGTTCTGACGGCATGTCCCGCAACCCCCTTGGACCTTCCGGCTCGCCGACGAGAGTCCGTCTCCTGCTCCTCCCATACCACATCTTCGTCCCCGGCCTCCTCTTTCTGCCGGAAAAAAACATTTACAGACTGAAGTGCTACCGGTGAGCCAGGCTGGGCTCGGCCGAGCTGTCAACAGCAGTGCCCTGGAGTACTGCGGACCTGAAGGCTCTCCCGCCATTGGTGGGGCGGGTGGGTCGGGGGACGTGGAGCAGGCCGGAGCCGGCTGAGCGGAGGGAGCGGGCGGGTTGGTAGGGGGTTAGGAGGTCGCAGTGGTAGGGTGGGGCGAGGCCATGGAGGGCTTTGTAGGTGAGGACCAGGATCATGAACTGGATCCTCTGAAGGATAGAAAGCTTATGGAGTCCGGCGAGAGTGGGGGAGAATGGGTCACGGAGTTTGTTGCGGGAGAGGACACGGGCTGCAGAGTTCTGGATTATCTGCAGCTGTGGAGGGAGGAGTTGGGAAGGCCGACAAACAGGGAGTTTGCATAGTCGAGCCTGGAGGTGATGAAGGCAAGAACATGAGAACATAAGAAATGCTGGATGAAAAAAAGACCAAGGTCCATCTTGTTCACCTTCCACCTTCCTGGCTGTCTCATATTTCCCGAATTACCTCTAGACTGTATCCCATAATCACGTTATTTCCTAAAAGAAAACTTTCTCATCTGTGTTTGAAGGGAAAGCTTCCATTCCAACTCTCTATCTCTGGGATTTCCATGTGTAGGTGGGATGCATGGAATTCTCAGCTTAGTTTAGAGAATCTTAAGCACGGTGATGGGTTTCCGTGTACGCCAAACACATGGCTCTCTCCCCCCAAAAAAAAATCAGTGCCACAGACTGCAAGATGCTGAGAGACTTTGCTAACACCAGCTTCTGATGGTCATGGTGAATTTCTCACCTTGGGAGTTATCGCCCGGTCCCCATTCTCCTCAGTGGCCTTTTTCCTCCAGGGCTTTATTTTGGGAACTTTCGATCCTTTAAGAGAAGATTTCATTTCAGACGATTAAAGAGTGACTGTGGAGACACGAGAGGAGTGAGTGGGCGGCTGTGATCACACGTAATCCACTCAGCACAAACCAGAGAGCTTGAAGCTCGAAATGTTCATGGCGATCATCTCATTGTTTCAACAAATTAGTGGTCAGAGCACTCGCCACGCGAGCTAGAGTACTACACAGGTCTCTGTTCACCAGCAGTAAGTAGGAACCCGGTTGTTAGTCGATTGGCGGATCACTTTTCCGGGGATAATAATCCCTTAAAAATAATAATAATAATTTAGTCACTCAATCCACGACTGTTTGTGGGACGCTGCTGTGCGCAATTGGCTGCTGCATTTTGCCCACAAATATACAGTCAATTCACTTTACAGTGTATCCTGTGAAGCGCTTTGAGACGTCTCGAAGACGTGATAAGGAGCTGCATCATTTGCAAGGTTGACGTGGCCTAATACTCTCTGTCATTAGGTAAGCAGGACGCATCCATCCGGAAAAGAGAGTTCTCAATCCATCCCAGACACAAGGATATTTCCACATGTAGGTGGTGGAGCTCTCAGCTGTTTGGTGGGAGAGTCTGAAGCACAGCGATGAGTTTCCACATGTGTCAGACACCCAGCGGGAACGGGCTTCAGCTTCGGGGGGGGAGGGGGGGAGGGGAGGTGGGGAGGGGAGGGGGGGGGGGAGTGGGGGGGATACTGAGAAGCAGGAGAGGAACTGTCAATCATTTCTCTTCCACAATTTAATCCTTACCTTTAGGGGCCATTGGTCCAGGGTCACCCTAGAAAATCATTGGGACAAGTGTCAATCCTCTTAAACATCACAGCACACTCACTCACTCACACACCACTGGGCACACTCACTCACTCATACACTCACTGGGCACACTCACTCACTGGGCAGCTCACTCACACACTCACTGAGCACACTCACTCAGTTACACAATCACTGGGCACACTCACTCACATACTCACTGGGCACACTCACTCACACATACCACTGAGCACATTCACTCACTGAGCACACTCACTCACTGAGCACACTCACTCACTGAGCACACTCACTCACTGAGCACACTCACTCACTGAGCACACTCACTCACTGAGCACACTCACTCACTCACACACTCACTGGGTACACTCTACTCACTCACACACTCACTGAGCACAGTCACTCACTCACACACTCAATGGCACACTCACTCACTTGCACACTCACTGGGCACACTCACTCGCTTACACACTCACTGAGCACACTCACTCACTTACACACTCACTGGGCACACTCACTCACATACTCACTGGGCACACTCACTCACTCACTGGGCACACTCACTCACTGGGCACACTCACTCACACACTCACTGGGCACACTCACTCACTGGGCACACTCACTCACACACTCACTGGGCACACTCACTCATACACTGGGCACATTCACAAACTCACTGGTCACACTCACTCACTCACTCACACACACACACACACACACTCACTCACTCACACACACACACACACACCGGGCACACTCACTCACACACCGGGCACACTCACTCACACACCGGGCACACTCACTCACACACCGGGCACACTCGCACATTCGCACACTCACACACATACACACATCAGGTAAACTCACTCACTCACACACCGGGCACATACACACTCACACCCTCAGCTGGAAATACACACGGCAGTTCCCATGACAACGCATCCGTTAGACACACGTCACTGGGCATGAGAGAACCTGCCAGAGTCTCACTTCCTCTCGTATCAAAAAAACCTTTTGATATCTCTCGTTTTTAATCTCTCAAGAGTTTTGTTTCCCTATTTCCAAAAAGATGCAATGGGCGGGGGTGGGGGTGGGGGGGGCTGGTGAGTGGAGGTTGCGGGCAGAGGGGGGAATGGGGCAAAGGGGGTTGGGGCAGAGGAGTTGGGGCAGGGTGGGTGGGCTGCACTGACTTTCTTACAATCATAGGATAATTAATCTCCAGGATCCCGTGATCACTTGTGACCCTCCACCTCCCTCTCTCTTTAGTGGGCGAAATGCAGCAGCCAATCTGTGGGACAGCAACGTCCCACGAACAGCCATGGAGTGAGTGACCAATTTTATTTGGGGGATTGTTGGCCAGGACGGAGAGAAACTCCCTTCTCTTTTCCAATAGCGCCGTGGGATCTTTAACGTATATTTGAACAAGCCTTGTTTTAACATCTCATCCAAAGGACAGCACCTCCATCAATATCAATGCAACCCCAGCCCTGCACTGCAGTGTCAGCTTAGACTGCCATGGATTCCGAGACCAATGGCTTGAACCCACAACAATAACAAACTGCATTTATATCACGTCTTTCACGTCGGAAGGACGTCCCAAGTTGCTGGACAGTTAAGGGCTTTGTGTAGGAATTAAGCGGGGTGGAGGGTAGGGGAGATGGGAGTGTGGCAAAAGGCACGATTAAAGAGGAAGGTCTTGAGAAGGGTTTTGAAGGAGGAGAGGGATGGGCGAGGCGGAGGGGCTCCGGGATGGAGTTCCAGAGGGTAACGACTTCTGACTTAGAGGCAAAGTGCTACCAACTGAGCTGGTTGTTGTCAGGGAAAGATTTTGTCTTGTATTAAGTGTGAAAGTTTCCCTCTCACACGGACACACATTCACCGAGGTTCTCGCCAGGAGGGAAACCTTTTATACTGACGATCGATTGTCAGTACCTGAAACCAGATGGTTCGCTTATTGCTGTCACGAAGCAACTTCATCCCATCAACATAATAGCACTGAAGCCAGGCTTCAAAAGCAGAGGGGCTCTCTCTGTGCTCGGGATCATAGCCCTTCGGACCTGCAGCACAGAAAGATAGAACAACAAACCTTATAACAATAATCCTTAACAATAATAATAATAATCCTCGCGCTTGAAATAGTTCCTTAGCACATCATTGATACGTCTCAAAATGCTTCACAGAATATATTGTATATGTTTCGTGGGTAAAAAGTGGCAGCCAATTGCGTGTAAGAGTGTCCCACACAGTTGTGGATTGAGTGACCACAATTGTTTTTAAAAAAGGTATTATTATCCCCAGAAAAGCGATCTGCCAATTGACTAGCATCCGGGTTCCTACTTACTACAGATAAACAGAGGCGCGTGGAGTAAGGAAACTTGCCTAAAGTTTCGTCTAAACCGGGAATTGAACCCAGGTCCTCTTGTTTGCAAGGTGGGTGCTCTAGTCTCTCACTCCATGGCTGTTTGTGGAATATTGCTGTCGAGAATGGAGATAACTTACCCAGATCAACAACCTCGAGAGGCACCGTATTGCAAAGCTCGAGAAAGTCAGGGTTCTCCATCTTTAACTTCACTTTCTTACTCAGAGTCAGCGAGGGAACCGGCTGAAAGGGAGACGGGAAGGTTAGTAGAGAGGCTGGTGACAATAATAACGATAACAATAATATTCCTCGCATTTGATCTAGTGCCTTATCACGTTGTTGGTCACTCACTTCACGGCTGACATTGCTGTGTTCATCACCAGCTGTTACTGATGCTACAAATACACAGTCCCTACACTTCCCACCAATTACCTGTGAAGCGCTTTGAGACGTGTGTTACAGTATTAAATGCCAGGGCTGTCATTTATGGGTTTTGAAAAAAACTGAGGCTCGTTGCTCTTTGCAGGAAGAGGTGCAGTCATCAGGGAAACTCTTCAACTCCTGACTCGGAGAAGGAAGATTCTGTATTGGCGTTGATAAAGCTGCTTTTCTTTTTATCAGCCAAGTCTCTGACCCGTGCGGAAACCTGTCACCATGATACGGAAATCCAAACCAGACTGAGAATTTCATGCCGCCCACCTAGTATTAGGCATAGGTTGGCAAGAGCCAAGGCTTTGGAGACCCCCGGGGTGTGTGTTTGGTGGGTACTGGGTTGCTGGAGTCTATAAGCAGCTAAAGCTCTATAGGTTGCTTCCATAGGGATTCCCCCCAATACCCCATTCGGAGCTCTCACCTCTTGTTTTTTCGCCAAAGTTTCCAGCACTGTCCTGGCTTTCTCAAACGGGGGCACTTTCAGCCTAGGAGAGAACGGGAGAGAAGGGGGGGGTCATCTCAGTCAAAGCACCCCAGCCCCACAACAATACACAGTCACTACACCACAGCGAACAGCGAGTGCCTGCAAAGAGCTTTGAGATGTTTCAAAAGGTCAAAATGCAAGGATTATTATTATTATTATTATTATTATTATTATTATTATTATCATCATCCATCACCCATTATTAACTCTACAGGACCCAACCCCCAAAATTCAACCAGACACACCTCCAACCTCCAACAGGGCCACCTTAACTTTTCAACCTTTGGCTTGAAAGGAGGATTCTCTGCCCCCAGAGACTGCTCTGCCCCTCCAGGTCCTGCCCATGACCCGGCTGGGCAAGGCCCTGGAGCCAGATCAGCCCCGAAGAGATCGCACTTACCCCCCCCACCCCCCGCCCGTCCCACTAACATATCCACCTACCGCCAACCCCCACCCACCCCCACTACACTGATCCATGACATACATTAGCGCGACAAGGGGGTGGGGGGGGGAGCAATACATATCACGTATGGCTTTACGGTGTCTCCCACCTGAACAGTATCTCTGCACGGAGATAGTTCCCGATGCCGTTGAAGTACTTTTGGTTCAATAACACCTCACAGATGGGTTTGTCAAAGGCTTTGTCTGCGAGATTGTTCAGCACGTTCACCCTGCGGAACCACAAAGACATTCTCAGACACAGCCACCAGGAGGCGGCGACAGTCAGCTCAGCGGTGGGAAGTGGGGGAGCGTTAGCCCCCAGAGGTGAGCCCGGGCCCCCTCCCACATCTCAACTGAACAACAATCGCCAGCCCCAGCGCATCAGCCCCTGCCCGTCCGCCCGCCCAAAAGCAGAGATGAAGTGGAGTCCTGCAGCTCAGTGTTTACAGCGTTCGCCTCACAAGCGAGAGGACCTGGGTTCAATCCCCGGGCAGGTGAACCTTGGGTAAGTTTCCTTACTCCTCACGCCTGTTTACCAGCAGTCAGTAGGAACCCAGTTGTTAGTCGATTGGCGGATCACTTCCCGGGGGTAATAATCCCCTCAAAAGTATATAATAAATTATAAATGTGGTCACTCAATCTCCAACTGTTTGTGGGATGCTGCTGCCCGCAGTTGGCTGTCGCGTTTCTCCCGCAAGACACACAGTCACTACTCTTTACAGTGAATCCTGTGAAGCGCTTTGAGATGCCAGGATGATTATTATTATGAAGAAGAGAAAGTTCGTTCCAACCCACCTGAACTTCTCGTACTCGAACATCACGCAGGGTCCCCTGTCCGGCTGCCAGGACCCCTCGGTCTCCCAGCTGCCAAACCTCCTGGTGTCTACGAAGCACAAGACCCTCCTGGGCTCGTCTTTGGTGTAAAACCTGAGGTGCGCGTGCTTGGGAAGCTCGTCCACGGGGGTGAATTTGAACTGACCGGACATCCCGAAGCGAAAGACGACATCCAGCGGAGCCCTCGACTCACTCGGGAACTTGCCGATCTCTGACCTTGGCTCGTTGCCCTCTGACTTTGGCTCACCATTCTCAGCCTCCTCCTTGAGCGGGGTGAGGGTCAGTTTGACCTCTTTGCCCCTGGAGACGGCCCAGATGGTGTAGGCACGGCAGGCGAAGGGCACCTCGGGGTTCTTGCTGACCTCCGACTTTTCCACTTTCCCCGAGAACACCAGCCCGGAACTCACCTGGTTCACAAACCGGCCGGCCAAGTGCAGCTCAGGTCCTTCAGGCATTGTGAGGGTCGGCCTGAGAGAGGAGACCACAACAACAACAACAAATTAATTAGTAATAATAATCCTTGTATTTGATACAGCGTCTGATCATGTCTTCGAAACGTCTCACAGCGCCTCCCAGGATATACTGTAACGTGAATTAACTGTATATTTTGTGAGCGAAACACGGCAGCCAATTGCACACGGCAGCGTCTCACAAACAGTCGTGGATTGAGTGACCGATTTATTATTTATTCTGAACGGGTTATTACCCCCGGAAAAGCGATCCACCAATTGACTAACAACCGGGTTCCTGCTTACTGCTGGTAAACAGAAGCGTGTGGAGTAGGGAAACTTGCCCAACGTTTCACTCTGCCTGGGAATCGAACCCAGGTTTTCTCGCTTGTGAGGCGGGCGCTCTAACCACTGAGCTACAGGACTGCACGTCGGGAGGACGTCCTAGAGCGCTGGACAGTCAGTGATTTGGACTCGAGCAGGGGGTTAGGATCAGGAGGGGTGGAGGGCAAGGAAACAACAGCAACATTTACAATTATTCCACCCAATACCCCATCTCCAAGCCCTGTAGCTCAGTGGTTAGAGCGCTCATCTCACAAGCGAGAGACCTGGGTTCGATTCCCAGCAGGGCGAAATGTTGGCCAAGTTTCCTTCCTGTTTACCAGCAGTAAGTAGGAATTGGTGGGTCGCTTTTTTTTTTGGGGGGGGGGGGCGGAGTGATAATCCCTTCAGAATAAATAAAATAATAATAATTTGGTCACTCAATTCACGACTGTCTGTGGGACGCTGCTGTGAGCAATTGGCCGCCGCGTTTCGCCCACAAAACATACAGTCAATTCACTTTACAGTATATCCTGTGATGCGATTTGAGACGTCTCGAAGACGTGATAAGGCGCTGTATCAAAAATGCAAGGATTTTTATTATTATTATAACGTCGGGACATCTCAAGAGCGCTTCACTGGGAGTTGCTGTAAAGTGCAGTGACTGTGTATCCTGTAGGTGAGCGTGGCAGTTAATTTGCACTCAGCAAACAGCCCATTTTATCTGGGGGCTGGTCAGCCAGAACACACACACTTCCTTCTCCTTTTCGACAACTTGCAGCACCCCTCACATGGGTTTGCATCTCGGAGTCGCGCTCCCGGTGACTGTTGAGTTACTAACCCTGCAGCCAAAGCCCAAGGGTGGTCCTAGCTGGACAAGCGGTGGGAAAGTTTGCCAGAGAGCGGTCTCAATGGCAAGCCGTGCGGTTTAGGCTGGTTAGACTCCAGCAGTTACCCCAACGCACACTCTGGGTGACCCTCCCACCCCCCCCCACCGCCCCCCACAAGCCTTGGCCCTCGCCGACCTGCCCCTAATACTGCATAGGGGGGTCCCTCCAGGAGAGAGAGAGAGAGAGTGTGTGCGTTCCATTCCAACAATCTCTCTCTGGGATTGCCACGTGTAGGTGGCAGACGGGGAATTCTCAGCTTGGCTTGGAGACCCTTAGACAGGGTGATGGGTTTCCGCACGTGTCAGACACCCACCCACCCACCCGGCTGTTGATTTGCACACAGACTCGCGTCGCGTGCACACGCGCACACGCGTGTTCATTTACAGTCAGCGCTAAGTGACACGGTTAATGTCACACGTGGACACGCGCGCGCGCGCACCCAAGGATGCTATTGCACGCGCACACGACCAGTTACGTGCCCACACGGCCAAACGTGCAGGAGCAATTCTCACACTGTGTGACAAACATTGCGTCGCTGTAAACAAGGGTACAGATGAACACAGGCAGTAACCAGCAGAGCCCCAGCGCTGGGCTGGAGGCTGGGACACACGCACAGACAGACAACAGGGGCGTTGGGACTGAAGCAGACCAGGCGTCTGGTCGTCTTGTCACCAATAAAGACTTGACGTGAGTTGTGACAAGCGCGGGGAAGCCAGCCGAGCAAATAACAAACCGTGTGACTTGTAATCCACACTAATCTGAGCAGTTTGCGTTACAAAACTGTTTCTCTCTCTCTCTCTCTCTCTCTCTCGGTGTCTTTCTCTCTCTATTCTCGCTCTCCGGCAGGTTTCAGCGCTGCCAGGCACGGAGTTAAAGGAACAGCGTCACACAAGAGGCAACAACAGCGGGAGACGCGCTGCGAGAGCCACGGACAGTTAGTTGGGATGTGGATCCTCACCGTTGCTGTATTGAGGACCTGCAGCGAAATCTGATGGTTCCTCTGAGCTCTGTCCACACTTCACTTCCTCAACACTCAGTGAGTTCTGAATGCTGGGATTCGTAGTTTCGCCCTCAAATACACAGTCAATTCACTTTGCAGTCTATCCTGTGAAGCGCTTCGAGAGGTCTCGAAGACGTGATAATGAGCCATATCAAATGGAAGGGTTATTATTATTAGTTCACTGGTTAATTTTGGCCGTTTCAGCATCACTGGATAGGTTTGAATAATAATGATAATAAATAATAATCCGTGCATTTGATATAGCGCTTTTATCACATTGATGAAATGTCTCAAAGCGCTTCACAGAATAGACTGCAAAGTGAATTGACTGTATATTTGTGGGCGAAACGCGGCAGCCAATTGCGCACAGCAATGTCCCACAAACATTCGTGGATTGAAAATGACCAATTTATTATTGTTTTTTTGTTTTGGAGGGATTATTATTAGGCTCTGTGTGGAGTTAGGAAACTTGCCCAAGGTTTCACCCTCTGCCTGGAATTGAACTCAGGTCTCTCACTTGCAAAGCGATTGTTCTAACCACTGAGCTACAGGACTCCAATATTAATAATAATAATCCATTCATTTGATAGTGCCTCATCACATCTTCGAGACATCTCAAAGCACTTCACAGAATGTACTGTAAAGTGTAGTGACTTTTTTTGTGTGGGCGAAACGCAGCAGCCAATTGACCACACTAGTATCCCACAAATAGTCGTGGATTGGGTGACCAAATTATTAATATTATTTTTTTTTGGAAGGATTATTACCCGGTGAAAAGCGATCTAATTGACCAGTAACCGGGTTCTGACTTACTTCGAGGTGAACAGAGAGAGGCGTGTGGGGTAAGGAAACCTGCCCTGCCGGGAATCACCCTCGAACTCAGATCTCGCTCGCTTCTGGATGAAGACCCTTCGGCCCATCTGATCTCATCCCAACATCACAGCATCAAGCTATCTTTTAATATTCCTCAACCATCGATCCCGGTAACCTCCAGTCGTTGAATACAAAATAGTTCCTTGTGTGTATCCCGAAATTACCCCTTTGTAACTCCAAACCTCTGTCCTCTTGTTCTACTTCTTAGAGTGTGTGAAAGTATTGATGTGGGTTTATTTTTTCAATCCCTTTTAAAACTTTGTACATCTCTGAGGTTCCTCCTGAGTCGTCTTCTCTCAAGACTGAAGAGCCCGAACTTGACCAATCGTTGCTCCCAGCTCATTCCTCTAACACCGGGGATCATCCTTGTTGCTCTCCTCTGTGCTGTCCGGTTGCTCAACAAAGCTGTCAATTCTGTGTCGCTCGTGTAGATAGCGAGTGTCACCAGCGTGTTTGTGATACACTTTCGTGACTGTTTTTGTCTCCTACACCGAGACCGCACACCGCTGCCCCAGAGAACAGCTGCCTCAGTTACAAATGCTGCATATCAATCCGACGACCACATTGTCCTCTCCGGGTGCCGCTCGCCAATTAATAAAGGGCTTAACTCCACTTAGTTAATAACTTCACAAAACTTCATCCAGTGTCCTGGCCTTCCAGGTGGTCATTCGCTTCATCTCTGGCTGTTTGAGGGACTTTGCTGCTGCATTTGCCAACAAGAATACAGTCACTACACTTGACAGCAATTCCCTGTGAAGCTTGGATTTTACACCCAAGGCTTCCTGGTGACTTTATTCAATCTAACATCTGTAAATAGTAAACCATGGGCTGGCATACTCTGGAATGGGCATTTCCAAACACTTTTGATATAGAAAACAAAGTGGACAGTATAAACTCCCCATTCCACACAGGGTTGGAGTTCAAGTGGTTGCTGAGGATCTCAAACACGTCTCTAACTTTGTTATATCGCAGCAATGCCTTCATTCCTTTTACCTTTAGACGAGCTGAAAATATCAATCACCCTAAACGTATAATAATATTCCTTGCATTTGATACAGCACCTTATCACGTCATTGAGACGTCTCAAAGCGCTTCACAGAATACATTGTAAAGTGGATTGACTGGGTATTTTGTGGGTGAAAAGTGACAGCCAATTGCGCACAGCAGCGTCCCACAATCAGTGGTGGATTGAGTGACCAAATCTTTTTTGAGAAATTATTAGAATGTCTAGATATTGTACAAAATCATTGATATAAAACATTTAATGATGAAATATAGAAGAGCATGAGGGGGGAGAGCAAGGGGAATTAGGAATAGAATATTACCTCCAGTTTGTTGGGACTTATTCTAAAATTCTACCAGGATTCTAGTTAGTTAGCATATGTTAGAAATGTCTATCTGAAGAGTTGGCTCATGCTGTTGAGTAGATATACAGATCTCGTATCTCAATAAATATGTATATCAAGGTTGTTAATGCATGTAAGAATGAGCATTACCAGCTGGGTGCATAATATAAGATTTCTACCAGGATTCTTTAATTAAAGAAATTGGAATTTCATTATCTTGATTAAGGAATCCTTTTAGAAATTGCTGCTCATCTACTCAGTTTTTAGGTTATTAGCTGACTATCAGTCCACCATTATTGTACCATTTCACCATCAGAGTACATCTGAGTCGTCAGTGAAGGTGATACTGTTGGGAGTCACTTTAGACTTCACAACTTTATGTGTCATTGCCACATTCATTTGTCAGTCAGTGAATTGCGAGAGACCTGGGTTCGATTCGCAGCAGAGCAAAACTTGGGCAAGTTTCCTTACTCCACATGTCTAATAATAATCCCTCAAGAAAAAAATAATAAATTGGTCACATCAATCTACGACTGTTTGTGGGATATTGCTGTGTGCAATTGGCTGCCGCTTTTCACCCACAAATATACAGTCAATTCACTTTACAGCATATTCTGTGAAGCGCTTTGAGACGTTGAGAAGACATGAAAAGCGCTATATCAAATACAAAGATTATCATTATTATTATTACCACTGGAAAGCAATCCTCCAATCGACTGACATCCAGGTTCCTATTTACCGCTAGTTAAATTGAGACATGTGGAGTAAGGAAACTTGCCTAAGGCTTCGTCCTGCCCGGGAATCGAACCTGGGTCCTCGTTTGTGAGGTGAATGGACTAACCACTACGTTATCGGATTCCACATAAGTGAACCAACTGGACTCTGCTTTCACCACGTAATCCTCGTACAGGTGACATTGCCTGGTGACAGCCCACCCACTCCACATCACTCCTGCTATATGTCGCTTATTAGATGGAATTGCAGAGTTTGGAGGTGCCTTTTCACAAAGCATTTCACGATGAACTCGTGGTCTAAACAAGTCTCCTTTTCTCCACCATGTAAAGGAACTTGTCTGAATGGAACGTGCTGGGGTGGGTGAATCGCTGATGGAACATTTAGGTAATCTGATCATCGACAAACAGAGGGTATGTCTTACACTTATGGTTGCTTTTTTTAATAAAAGATCTTTTGGAATGTCTCTTTCCTTCCCCCCCTTTCTCTGTCCCAGTCTCCAGTGAATCCAACAAAACACAGGAAAAATCAAATGGAACAAATCTTCCTCAGTTCAAGGAGTTCATCAGTGCCTGAGCTTGCTTGAGTTCTGAAACAGAAACACACATTCATCCTACATCACAAAGGGGTCATCTTTAATAATAATAATCCTTGCATTTGATAGAGCGCCTTTATCAAATTGATGAAACGTCATACAAAAGGATACACTGTAAAGTGAATTGACTGTATATTTTGTGGGCAAAACCCGGCAGCCAATTGCGGACAGCAGAGTCCCACACACAGTTGTGGATTGAGTGACCAATTTTATTTTACCTGGAAAGCAACCCGCCAATCGACTAACAACCAGGTTTCTACTTATTGTCCAGTAAACAGAGGCATGTGGAGTAAGGAAACTTGCCTAGGGTTTCAACCCGCCTGGGAATCGAAACCCGGTCCTCTCGCTTGCGAGGCGAGTGTTCTAACCACTGAGCTACAGAACTCCACGACTTGTCTGACTCCGGGACTCTTCTGCACGCTTTCCATATGGAGCGAAGCCAAAACCCTCAAAATGTTTAATAAAGCCTTAATAATACAAGAGTGGGTCACGTATGACAAAGCACGGCCCAAAGGGTCAAATACCTGCAGGGCATTCAATATCAGTCGGCCTGAAGCCATTCTAATGTCAAATTCCCAGGAGACAACAACAACAAACTGAACTCTATCCTCTGGGGGATGGGGAGTGAGTGGAGTCGGGCGAGGGCGAGGGGGTCACGGAACCTGGTGCGGGAGAGGACACGAGCTGCAGCTTATTCAGAGGGAAGAGTTAGCAAGGCCGACAAGCAGGGAGTTAGCATCAGCGAGCCTGGATGTTACGAGACTCTTAATTTGGTGATAGGACTGAGTGTGTCAGGCGCTCGGGTGACCCCGATAGTAACATGTTTTTTGGCCTGACCCACCTGTAAGCAAGACCCGAAACTTGTTGGCTGTCACGGACATGACCGTGGGCTCCACGAGATTCGTGTCCACATTGCGGACGTTAATCTTCAGGTGAATAACCGGCTCATTGACTTCCTGCAGCTCACTGGAGCTCAGAGTGTGGTCCACGCGCCACGATACGCAGTCCAGTTTATTCACTAAACACAAAGCAGAGGCGAGGAAGAGCAGTGAGTGTGTGGGTTTACCAGACTCCCCTATTCCCCCCCACCCACCCAAAGCCATCATACTGACACCCAGCTGGGAGTTAAGGAGAAGCTCACTTACACCTGAGGCTCGTCTCCTTTAGCCTGTCCTGCAGGGCAGCCTGTTTGTCTTCGTAAGACTTACAGAATCCAGCGGCATGCTCTGAAACCCATCGAAAACAAGGTCACATCCTGTGCGCAATTGGCTGCCGCGTTTCGACCACAAAATACAGTCAGTTCATTCAGTGTATCCTGTGAAGCTCTTTGAGACGTCGCAGTGAGGTGATAAGGCGCTGTATCAAATGCAAGGATTATTACGGTGTCGAGACGTCTCAAAGCGATGAAAGTTCTGACGAAAGGTCATCAATCTGAAACGTTCACTCACTTTCCTTTCTTCGCAGACGCTGCCTGACCTGCTGAGTGTTCCCAGAAACTTTTGTTTGTATTAGAGTGAGGATTATTATTATTGAAGCTATGCAGAAGATGAAAGAGACACTAATAATAATCCTTGCATTTGATATAGAGCCTTGTCACATTATTGAGACATGATAAGGACTTTACATTATACACTGTAAAGTGTAGTGACTGTGTATCTTGTAGCTTTAAATTGGTAGGCTCTGAGACACACCGCTCAGCGAGGTGAGCTGGGCGCCACCTACGAGGTGTTTTAATAATAATAATCCTTTCATTTGATGTAAATGAAACATTTACATCAAATCACAGGATATGCTGTAAAGTGATGACTGTGTATTTTCATAGGTGAAACTTTCAGTCTGGGAACATAACGGCAAACATAACCCGCGAAGCTCAGCATACCTTTTGGAAGACCGAGTTGTTGTAATTCACTGGACAACGATTCTCCGTCCACACTGTATTTGGCAGCGCTCGACAGAATGAAGCTCAGCACCGCGATGGTGGCCTTAACGTCGCTGGAGTCTGAAAGCCAAAGCCCAAGAGGGTCACACACCGCGATCAGCGAACACACATCATCAAATGGATCGAATTTCATGGCAAAAACTCCCTCATGTTTATAGAATAATAACAATAACAATAGTAACAACAATAATAACAATATTAATAATAATAACAATAATAACAATAAATTATAATAATAAGAATAACAATAATGATAACAATAAGAATAATCCTTGCAGTTGATGCAGTGCTTTAGCACAACGCCTCTGAGTCAGAAGGTTATGGGTTCGACCGCGCATTCGGCCACTCTCCTACGCCTTACCCTCCTGTCACTTTGTTACAGTGCTGGGGGGGAGGGGGGAGGGGGACATTGTTGGTGTTGCCGTTCTCCGATGCGACGTTAAACCGAGGTCCCGTCTGCTTGTTCAGGTGAATGTTACAGATCCCATGGCACTATTGGAAAAGAGAAGAGAGTTCCTCTCCCAGTTTCCTGGTTATCAATCCCCCGGATAAAAACGGTGACTCAATCACAACTGTTTGCGGGAAACTGCTGTGCGCAATTGGCTGCCGCGTTTCACCCACTTTCCAGTGTATCCTGGGAAGCGCTTTGAGGCATCTCAATGGCGTGATAAGGTGCCTTATCAAATGCAAGGAATTACTGCACCTCTAAAACGCCGGTGAATGTACGTCACAGACTCACCAAACTTTGCGTCAGCCGTGAGTTTAGTGATCTTCTCATACTGCAGATGAGCATGTGAGAGCGAGAGCGAGAGCGAGAGAGAGACAGAGAGAGAGAGAGAGATAGACAAAGGCATTATTAAAAATACTTTGTGTTGGGTTAAAGCTTACAGCTCAAACATGCTGGTAATTAAGAGAATCTCTTACATCAATTCCCTCTCCGAGCAGCTCCTTCAGCACCTGTACACACAGCAGCTTCATCTTAACTGAGGACTGCGGGGAAACAGATCAGGTCAGCAACAGAGAAAGGCTCAATGTGAAAGCCACCCCCACATCACAAAGTCGCAGTTTGTTAACTTCAGTCGTCATTTTGAAGCGTCCTGTGAATGAGACGTTAAACCGAGGCCCCATCTGCATCTTCAGGGGCAGGTGGGACCCCAGGAAACTGGGAGAGGGAAACTTCCTTCTCTTTTCCAACAGTGCCATGGGATCTTTAATGTCCACCTTCCTGGTGTCTCAAAGTGATAATCTTTGGCTTGAACCCAGACTGCTGACTCAGAGGCGAGATGCCACCAACTGACGTTAATGATCCCATTGGTACAATTGGAAAACAGTAGAGAGTTTCTCCTGGTGTCCTGGCCAATAATCCCCCCCACCCCAACCCGCACCCCCCACATAATTTGTGGGGCATTGCTGTCCACAAGTTGGCTGCCGTGTTCACCTAAACGGTCACAGTAAATAAAAAGAACAGCTAAGCTCCTCTGAAGGGAGGACAGTGGGTGGGGGTTTCGAGATGGCAGACAGGACCTTGGTTTAACGTCTCAGCTGAGGGATGACACCTCTCCAATAATGAAACCCTCCCCCACCACTACACTGGGATGTCAGCCTGGACTGTGAGCTCAGTGATAACCTTTGCCTTGAACCCACAACCTCCTGACTGAGCGGCGAGATGCCCCCCAGTGAGCCACGGCTGACACTCACAGCAACAATACAATGATCACTGTGAGACTCTGAAAAGATGAGGACTCAACTATTTTTGCCAACGTGCTGATCTCCGCCAGGACCCAGTCTGGGCAGTCCAGGTCTCCACAGAAGCGGAACCTCTGTAAAGTAAAGAGCACAGTTTAGCCTCTGCTCTGCAGTGATCCCCGTAATCAAACACCTCTGATGGTCACCATCTCTCTCTCTCTCTCTCTGTACCTGTTATATTCCACACTCTATAACGGGGTGTGGGGGGGTTGGGTGTGTGGGGGGTTTGTGGGGGGTGTGTGGGGGTGTGTGGGGGGGTTTGGGGGGGGGTGTGGGGTGTGGTGGATTTTGTAGGTCAATTTGGCTCCCCCTCCCCCCATCCCCCCCCCCACCCCACACCCCATCTCTCTCGCTCTGTCTCCTTATTTTTCTCTCTCCGACTCTCTTCATCGTTCACTGTCACACTCTCTCGCGCACACTCACTCACTCCTCCTCATTCTCACACACTCACTTTCTCTTACTCTCTCACCATCATTCGCTCTACCTTTCTCTCTCACACACTCACTTCCTTTCTAATAATAATAAATTGGCCATTTCAATCCATGACTGTTTGTGGGACACTGTTGTGCACAATTGGCCGCCGCGTTTCACCCACAAATATACGGTCAATTCACTTTACAGTGTATCCCGTGAAGCACTTTGAGACGTCTCAAAGACATGAACAGGTGCTATATCAAACCAAGGATTATTATTATTATCTCACTCTCTCCCTCACAAACACTCACCTTCTCTCCATCTCTCTCTCACACACTCAGTTCTCTCTATCTCTCTTACACACACCTCTCTCTCACACTCACCTTCTCTCTCTCTCTCTCTCTCTATCTATCTCTCTCTCTCTCACGCTCACCTTCTCTCCATCTCTCTCACACACTCAGTTCTCTCTATCTCTCTCTCTCTCACTCACCTTCTCTCTATCTCTCTATCTCACACTCAACTTCTCTCTATATCTCTCTATCTCACACTCACCTTCTCTCTATCTCTCTCTCTATCTCTCTCTCACACTCACCTTCTCTTTCTCTCTCTCTCTCACTCACCTTCTCTCTGTCTCACACTCACCTTCTCTCTATCTCTCTCTCACACTCACCCTCTCTCTGTCTCACACTCACCTTCTCTCTCTCTCTCTCTCTCACACTCACCCTCTCTCTCTCACCTTCTCTCTATCTCTCTCTCTCACACTCATTCTCTCTCTATCTCACTCTGACACTCACCCTCTCTCTCACACTCACCCTCTCTCTCTCTCTCTCTCTCACACTCACCTCTCTCTCTTATCTCTCTCTCTATCTCTCTCTCACACTCACCCTCTCTCTCTCTCTCTCACACTCACCTTCTCTCTATCTCTCTCACACTCACCCTCTCTCTCTCTCTCTCTCACTCACCTTCTCTCTATCTCTGTCACACTCACCCTCTCTCTCTCTCACACTCACCTTCTCTCTATCTCTCTCTCTCACACTCACCTTCTCTCTATCTCTCTCTCACACTCACCCTCTCTCTCTCTCACACACTCACCCTCTCTCTCTCTCTCTCTCACACTCACCTTCTCTCTATCTCTCTCACACTCACCCTCTCTCTCTCACACTCACCTTCTCTCTATCTCTCTCTCACACTCACCCTCTCTCTCTCTCTCTCTCACACTCACCTTCTCTCTATCTCTCTCTCTCTCACACTCACCCTCTCTCTATCTCACACACTCACCCTCTCTCTCTCTCTCACACTCACCTTCTCTCTATCGCTCTCTCCCACACTCACCTCTTCTCTGCCTGTGTGTGTGTGCTCTCTCTCTCTCCTCGGGAGGTTGTGCGGCAGGAGCGGCCCTGGTCCTCCAAGCGCGGACACCAACGAGCATCAGCGGGAGCGAGTCCTCCGAGGCAGGAGGGTCCCGAGCCCAGAGCCACAGTCACTGTAACAGCTGGATCATCATCATCATCAACATCATCATCAACAACAACAACAACATCATCATCAACAACAACAACAACAACATCATCATCAACAACAACATCATCATCACAACAACAACATCAACAACAACAACAACATCATCATCAACAACAACAACAACAACATCATCATCATCACAACAACATCATCATCATCATCATCATCATCACAACAACATCATCAACAACAACAACATCATCATCATCACAACAACAACATCATCATCATCATCAACAACAACAACATCATCATCATCAACATCATCAACAACAACATCATCATCAACAACAACAACAACAACAACAACAACATCATCATCATCATCAACAACACATTATTATATAATATGTAATATTATAATTATAACAGCAATAATCCTGGCATTTGATACAGCGCCACATCACGTCTTCGAGACGTCTCAAAGCGCTTCGCAGGATATGCCGTAAAGTGTAGTGACTGTGTATTTGTGGGTGAAACGCGGCAGGCAATTGCACAGAGCAGTGTCTGCCCCACAGACAGCCGTGCGCTGAAAATGACCGATTTATTATTTACTTATTTTTTCTGGAGGGATTGTTACCCCCGGAAAGCCGTCCGGCAATCGACTGACAGCCGGGTTCCTACTGACGGCCGTCACACAGAGGCGCGTGTGTCTGTGTCTGTGTGTGTGTGTGTGTGTGTGTGTCTGTCTGTGTCTGTGTGTGTGTGTCTGTCTGTGTGTGTGTGTGTGTCTGTCCATGTGTGTGTGTCTGTGTGTGTGTGTGTCTGTCTGTGTGTGTGTGTCTGTGTCTGTGTGTGTGTCTGTTCTGTGTGTGTGTCTGTGTGTGTGTGTGTCTGTCCATGTGTGTGTGTCTGTCCGTGTGTGTGTCTGTGTGTGTCTGTCTGTGTGTGTGTGTGTCTGTGTGTGGAGTGAGGAAACTTGCCCAAGCTGTTCGCCCTGACCTGCCCGGGAATCGAACCCGGGTCCTCTCGTTTGTGAGGTGAGTTATTATAGTGAGACGTGAGCTTCAGGTTTCTGCACCTGAGGCTCGTGCCTCATCATAATAGACTCGACTCAATCCTCCGAGTGCCACAATTTGGGATTTCCTCCGTTTGAAGCCCTTTTTCTTACAGTTTCGATAGCGATGCTCTAACCTGTCCACTCCGCACCCACAGGAGGCCATGATGTTGCTTTTGAGGCTATTTTGGGCTGAAACATTCTCCCTCTATCCCTCCACTTGCCCTCCCTCCCTCCCTCCCCATCTTCAGGTCGCAGTTTGAAGACGTTCCTCTTCGACCACCTTCCCCTCCCTCCAGCTCGGCTTCGTGCTCCGCCCATAGTCAAGCGCTCTGCGGCGCTAAACAGCGCGAGGGGCGCTGTGTAACTGGAAGCTGTTGTGTGGTGGACATTTTGGCTACAAACTGAACTTGAATTTCCGGCTAAACCCCGATTTACAGAGAGAGACAGAGGGGACCCTGAGCAGCACCGCCCTGAGACTGTCAGCTCCGAGCAGCGGGGGCAGGGT